TGAAGAGCTGCTGGAGGAGAGTTTTTCTAGCCTTGGATCAGGGTGTAGCTTTGCTTTTTATTCCTGCTGTAAGTTCCTTTGTTGCTTGGTACATCTCATGGACTGGACATGTACAAAAATAACCCTGAATTCACTGAAGAGTTTTTTGTTAGACTCGGCTGTTCTGTAAAACCTGTTGTAGAATCTCTCCTCATGGGATCATGTGTTCTCTGAGGCTGTGGACAGATGTTCTTTTCTGGATCTGACTGTGCCAGTGGAACAAGTTGCTGCTCCCAGCAGCGGTTAACAATCCCTCCACTCTGCCTGCAGAGCTGCTCATGGGAGTGTCTTCTGACCTGTTTATGGCAAAATGAGCTGAGCTAGGAGATACTTGTCACTTGCAGTGTTTTTAGGCTGACTGGGTTAATTTTGAGTGATACAGGTTGGGGAGTGCTTACACAAGAAACTCCCAGAAGGGGTGATGCTGTGTAGCTGAAGGTGGATAAGGAGGAGACACAAACCTGCTCTGCCAGCAGACCTGTCAGCAAAACACATTTGTCTGCTCCTCAAGTGTGGTGTGTGGTATGAAACTGCTCCATTAAACTAGTTTCTTGTTGCTGTCTCTAATTTTGCTCCTTGCAGTTTGAATACCAGCAGGCCCAGCTGGAAGCTGAAATTGAAAATCTCTCATGGAAGGTGGAGCGAGCAGACAGCTATGACAGAGGGGTGAGTGTTCTGCTTGCTTGAGCCTGCTGGCCAGATTTTGTTTGCTGGGCTTAACACTTCTGCAGGAGCACTAAGGTAGTCAAGTGAGAGTTCTGAGAAACTAGATCCAGAAACCACCCTTAGGCAGCAGATGTTGTAGAAGCGGAGTGCTCACTGCTTATGGAAGGGGAGGGCGGGCTGCAGGGAGTCCTGCAAAGTGAGATGGGACATACAGAGCTCTGGAAGAGGCTCCAGGTATCCCTCTGGTGAAGAGCAGATACCTTAAGTGTGTAGAGGTTTAGGGAGAGCAGGAGCCAGGCAACTGCAGAGGGAGCCCACATCAAAAGCAAGAGGATCTGGGATCTTGTGATCCAGAGTGCGTGTGAAGTGTGACAGTTGGTGCTTCTCACGTGGAGTGTAGTGTCTCCCTGAGGAAAATGAGCTCTTCTCCGGAAAATGTGTGCTGACAGTTTGTACCTTCTGTTTTACCAGGACTTAGAGAATCAGATGCACATAGCAGAGCAGAGACGGAGGACCCTGCTGAAAGACTTCCACGACACATAAGACAGGAGGAAGTGACGAAGTGCAGGGGTGAGAGCAGCGAGTGAAGTGATGGCAGCTTCACTGGGATAAGCAGGCACTGCCTCTGGGAGAACACGGCCAAGGACAAAGCCACCCCTCCCCTTGCAAGTCAGACACATGCAAACACCACATCTTAGTCCAGTTTGTTCTCTTATCTTTCTGTTTCTGTTTCTGCCAGGCTAGAGGCCAGAGCTCAGATTGGCATATTTCCTGGGCCATTTCCCTCCTGCCTTTGATGGTTTCAGAAGGGGAGGGAGTTTTTCTCTGAATGGCTGTTAATAGTATTAGATCGTTACAGTTTATGTAATTTTCAACGGTTGTACAATTATACAGACAAACCTTAGAATAACACACAACCCTTTTTAAAAATAAATTGGCAGTGGAGTGTTTTTCCTTAATCTGCTTGTAAATTTAATGGGCTTTTCCCCCTCTCCCTCTCCCTTCCTCTGACCCAAAAATCCTCCTAGGCGCTGAAGGAGGTTACAAAATATCTCAGCTAGATTTCCCGATGCTCCTTTAACCAGGGCATTGTAGCATTGGCATTGCATGAGGAGAGTGGCCGGTGTTAAGGGTGGCTGCTGCTGTGTCTGGCCCTACAGTACCAGCAGTGGCTGTTATTCAGTATGATTACATGGGACATCTCTTGTCTTGTAAATCAGCTGTGCAAAATCCAGCTACACAAACAGAAGCAAACAGAGGAATTTCAAGGGACAGACCAGGTTAACACTGGGGGATATGCCTTGAGTTTGAGAGAAATTGAGAGAAATCAGATTCTGCGTTTGATGGATTTTAGGTCTTCCATGTAGATTTTTGCTTTACTTGTTTTTGTGGAGAGGATGTTGTATTGCCAAAGCGAATGATGAGGGACTAGTAGCATACAGTTGTTAATCAAGGCTTGGGGCTTTTGCAGAGTGAAAGAATCCATGTTATAACAGTGCCATGCGGCCTGGTAAAGATTATTTGTGCCTCCTGGGTAGCATGGCTGAGAAAATTTGATTTCGTTCATTAAAATGAGACTGAATACCACTACATTATGAGGAGGAAAGATTATGTACAACACACTCCCTGGCACGTGTTGGCAATGTGGACGGGCACTTGAATTCAGGTGCATTACTTGTGCAGAGCCTGCACAAAGCCAGGCAGAAAATTAACTAGCAAAATTAATTTATTTGTATATTAGTATTGATGCTGGTGGGGACTTATCAGAAAATTGATTGTTAGGAGCATGTGGAGCTTTTTTTATTAACATTCTTTTTTTAATGTAAAATATACACTAAAATAAAAATATGAAAACCTAGTTCATCTTAGTAGGGGTTAACATGAAAAAGATTGCTTAAATGCTGATCCTTGCCTGTCTGCTGCAGGAAGCAGGCCACATGTTAGGATTTCACAGGCATGTGTGTCACCTGCACCGGAGCTTGTTGTTTGCAGCCAAAAAGGTGCAGCCGGAGTCTGACCTGAGGAAATCTTCACCTCTGTGGGGAACTCACTTCCATGCTGTATGTGGAAGTGTTGCCTTTGATCTATCCCCGTATTGTTCTTATGCAATGTGACTTGATAAAGATTAAACTGGAGGGGGGAAAAGTGCTAAATTTCTGCATGTCAGAATAAACTCACTCCACTGTTGGAGCCTCTTTCATGTGCCTGAGACACATAATCCAGGTATTTGCAGCAGGTATAATTGGGCTGATGGATTTTATCAAGTGATGCATCAGTTTAAAAAAGGAGTAGCTGCCATAGGAACTAATCCTGTCGATCTGCTTGTTGTACACAGCAGAAAATTTCAAACTGAGAGGCCTTTTCCTTCCTCCCTTCCTTCCCTGGCGGGGGATGTATCATCAGGGAACAGGGGAACATACTGCGAGGAGTGGGATTACAACAGAAGAGGCTGAGGGTAGGGAAGGGTTTTGGAGAGATGGCTGGAGCCAGGGAGTGGGGCAGGGAAGGGAGTCTGGTTTCTGGGAGCAGCACTGCTTGCTGTGCAAGAGATCTCCATAGCCATGGCTCCTTGTGTTCCAGCTCTGTCCTGTTCTGGCTCCCCTTGAGGCTGGAGCTGTAGAGGTAGATATGTCCTTGCTCCAGCCACTGTCTCCTGACTTCATTCCCTCTGCACCCAGCAGCAGCCTCTTTGTGCCCTCCTCTATATTCTAGAAGTCAGTCTCTTCCTTCCTCTCCCAAATGATTGTCAGAGTCGGGGCAGGCTGCACCCACAGTAAAGGTTTGCTGAGACCCCAGCAGTTTGCAGTGCATAGAACCCATGTTTAAACTGTTCTTTAAAAATGTAATGTGCAAAGTACTGATTAGGATAAAAGCTGGTGTTCTTGTTGTCAAACGTAACTATCTTAATACCTAATCTCTTTGCAGAACAGATATGTGGAGTTCCCTAATCCCAAAGAATTATCACTTCTGTTACATAATTGTCCAGCTTTGAGCTAGATGAGAATGGGGTTTTGTCTCTCTCCCTCCCTGCCTCCTTCCCTCCCTCCCTCTCCCATGCCCCCACGAAATGCTTTGCTATGAATCCTTGTTTGTTGACAAGCCAGGCTGTATAGCTGTGGCGAGACTTGCTGAACAGGCTGCTGAGATGCTTGGCTGAAGAATAGTAATAAGGATTGCACAGTGCACCCCCTAATTCTTTCAAATTTTCTGAAACTAGAACTTTGTCAACAGTTCCATTTATTTTTAAACAAAACAAAACACCCTTTCTGAAGGTGGTGAAAGTCCTGGGTTGCATGCACAGATCCTGTTGCTGTACTCTGGGAAAACAACAGGACTTGCTTTTGCAGCCCAGGCAGGGCAACTTCTGTATTGGTGTCGTACAGGAAGTTGTGGACTCCAGGACAAAACCTGCAGAGCACAGGGGCTGCTGGCTCCACGTGTAAGGTGGCTGACACAGCTCAAGAGGCAGGTGTCAGGAGGGAAACAGGTTCTCAACACCCGAAGACAAGGCCAGTTTCTTCCCCTCTAATAGGTACATGGCCCTCTTTGAGTCAGCAAGGTTACATGGATGTAGGTGAATAGAAAGTGGCTCAGGAGCCATTAATCCTGAGGTACAAATTTCCCTTTGATGCGTTACTGCTACAGACGTGGAATGTTTGCTCTCTTTTTTCTTTTTTGCACTTGTTTCCAGCTCCTGCGCCAGCCCAGCGCCTCTCCATCCTTGCATCCGGCACTCTTTTATTTCGGCTTCGCTTGTGTTGGTGCACTGGCTGTCTCATCTCTGATAGTCCTCAGGCTTCCCAGACTGTAACAAAACGTTTTCTACTGATACCGTAAACTGCATGACTGCTACCCTGGGTGCGGCGAAGGTGCCGTGCCCGCCCGCGGGTGGGGCAGCAGGAGGTTTCTGTACAATAGTCTTGCACTCTAAATTTTAGACTTTTTAAGCAGGTGGAAAAAAAATAGAACTTTATTTTTAAATGAGGCACTTGTTCTGGGAATTCCTTTCCTGGCCCCGATCTGGTTGGGGTTGTTGGGCTGTGTGTTTGGGGGTTCGGCGCTGCTGCCACCCCTCGCTTTTCTTCGCAGGCACCGGAGAGGGGCAGGGGCGGCGGAAACCGCCCGGGAGACGGTTGCCAGAGGTGTGCCCATGGTTTATTTGAAATAAATTGTGACTTTCTAACTTTGGCGGTGTCCTGGCTCTCCTTGGCAGCGGGATGGGGACGGGGTGGAGGGGGGGTGTGGCTGCTGTCGCTGTCCCCGCCCCGCGCTGCCGCAGCGCCCGCCGGGCCGTTGCCGCGGTGACGCGGGGCCGGCCGGGCCGGGGCGATGGCGGCGGCGGAGGCGCGGGCCGAGGGTCCCCCGCTGCCCGGCCCGCCGGGGGGCCGCCCGCGGCCCGTCTGCTCCCGGCCCTACTTCCTCGTCCTCATGGTCTTCGCGCACCTCTACGTGCTCAACGTGCTGGGGCTGCTGCTCTTCGTGCACCTCAGCGCCGGCGAGCCCGGCGGGCCGCCCGCCGCCCCCGCGCCGCCGCCGCCGCCGCCCGCCCGCGCCCTCCCGCGCCTCGAGGGCATCAAGGCAAGGCTGCGACCCGGGGGCCGGGGCCGGGGCCGCTCCTGGGGCCGCTGCTGACGGCTGCTCTCCCCGCAGGTGGGCCACACGCAGCGGGTGGAGCTGGTGCCCGGCAGGGCCCACAATGTGCGCACCCTGAGCCTCAAGCCGCTGCTCTTCGGTGAGTACCGGCCCCGCCGGGGGCAGCGGCCGAGCCCGGCCCCGGGCGCGCCGGTGGCGGGGCGTTTGCGCTGCCCGCGCTGCCCTGACGGCGGAGGGAGGGGGGTGTGTGTGTGTCTGACACCCGCCGCTGCCTTACACCCACTCGGGGGGAAGCGACTTCTCGCGTGTTTGCATCACCTCCCTGTGCTGCTGCTCCTGGGGGCTGCGTTAAAAACGCTGTGGTTTCGTTTAAGGTATTTTGATACGGTATTCCCCGTATGGATACGGGATTACTTGTTGTGGATGGTCCGCTTTGAAGAATTTGGAAGATTAACCTTTCCAGGTTTTTCAGATTCCCTTTAAAATACCCGGAATAGACAGCTGGCAAGGACCTCGAAGAAGCTGTGCAGTATTAGGAAGGGGCAAGAGATACCCAAACTTTTGGTAATAAATTATGAAAAAGCAATTTAGTGTTGGTGCTTCAGCACTGAGGAAATGAGTAACAGGGGAATTGATAGATTTCATGTCCTCCACCATTTTGCATCCTGTTCCAGATTTATTTTTGGCTGCTCTGATACACAACCACACGACATCCGTCTCTGAGATATTTTAAAACCTTCTTTACCTTTCTGTGATTTTTTTTGCTATGACTGGTAAAGTCTCATTAATTGAACTCTGTGTTCGGGAAATCCACTGAGAATATTCAAATTAATTTTTGGGGGGACAGATCATTACAAAATTTCTGCTACTGCAAAGTCAGAGAAAACCTGTTGTCTCTGAAAAGACAGCATGAAGAATCTTTCAGATGCTTTCTCAATAATATAAATAGAGGGTTCTTTTCTGATTCCAGAGAGATTATATACACTGAAAGCCTGACCATAGGTTTCTTATTAAACTCCGTTAATGCATTAAGTATCTGGAAAAACTTTACAAAATTCTTTTGTTATTTCTACATAGGTGGTACTCATGGTTTTCCAATTTCTTGGTGGATTTCTGTCTGACATTCAGGAAACAGATACACCAACCTGGAACTGATACCCCACAGCATCACAAAACCAGTGTCAGTACCAGAACCTCAGCCTGGGGCAATCACTCTGGTTTTCACTCAGGAGAACTTCTGTTTCCACCTTCCCTGCCCCACCAGTACCACTGCAGTGAAAGAGTTGGTCCTGGCCTGCAGGGAAGGTGCTGAAGGTGATAAAAGGCAGGTTAGTCCTGGCAGCAGCAATCCCACAGTTTTTAGCTTGTTGTTCCAGCACCTCCATTGGTTCTGAGGGAAGCTTTGCTCCCTGAGGATGCCATCACACAGCGACAGACATTCACCATTTGAGATGCCACAAGAGCCTGTTCTCCTTTGTCCTCTGATAAGGACTCCCTTATTTAGAAGCTGCAAGTTGCAAGACAGCTCTTATCTCTTGGATGAACCTGCCAGGAGCCAATTCTGACTTTAAAAGACTTTCAGAGACTTCTCTATCTATGCAAACAGTACCAATCTAATTCAGCTGGTTTTTAAAAAACTAATTTATTTCATCTCTGTTGCTTAAATTAGTGGAAGTTTGTCTTTAACTTGGTTGCATTTGATAAACGCAGAAGTCCTTAGCAAAGACTGTTGCGTTTCTGGGGATTTAAGACAAAGTGCTGTGGCATATGAGAGCCAATTTAAGGAAGCAGTGGCTGGTCTGTGATCCTTGCTTTCAGCAGAGCAGACTGCAGTGGGACCACAGCAGCAGACACCCATTAATGATTTAATGTGAGCTCTGGGCTTTGGGGCATGGGCTGGGCACCGTAGGGGAACTTGCGGTTTGTTTTTTAAATGTGAGTAAGTCACATCTGCATCAAACTGAAGCTTTCATTTCATGGAGCTATGAAAAAATGCCTGCCCTATTTTTTTTCCCCCTCTGGCTACAAGGCATCATTTCTAAAGCTTGTAAGTCAGACCATCTGTGCACTTTTTAGTTGGGAAACACTAGTAATCAAATAACCCTATTAATGGAAAATAAATCAGACAAAACCTTTTCAACCTTCAGAGCTTTTATGTGTTCAGTTGTGTTTTCCAGACGCAGTCTGTTCAGAAGATACTGCCGTTGCAGGGACCACCTGACAGCAGATTCTGTGGATTGGGCAGCAGTTTGTAAGACAAGGCAGTGGGGAGGAATAAGAATAGGAAATTTGGTTGGTTTTCTTCCAAGCCTCAGGAAAGAGAAGTAATCACTGCACAAATGTCAGGGCGCAGCTGAATTCCAGTGTGAGTGTGTGAGCTCTCATTCCAGCCCACATTGGTGTGAGGAGGAGCCCAGGCCGTGGATTGTTGGTGAGTTTTACGAGCACAGGGAGGCAAAGTGTCTCCATCAAACCAGGCGGCGGCCACAGCCGAGACTGCAGGCGGCACCAGCGGGGCAGAAAACATTCCTCCAAAAGGCTGGTTTCCCCCCCCTTTTTTTTTTTTATTTCGGTTTAAACCAATATAGAAAACTTTCCATGGACAGTGCTTTGTTAGGCAGTAGAAATCCGACTCGTGAGGGATTCTCATTAGGGGATTTGCTGTTTTCTGCTCTGGGGTCTGGAGCACAGAGCTGTGGCTGTGGGTACCCTGCAGGGAGCGACAATCCTGCTGGGGTGAGAGTGAGCTGCGGAGGACTTGGTGAGGCTGAGTTTTCCCACCTTTTCTGTTTCCCTGTGTGCAGCTGGAAGGCCAGGCAGCTGTGGAATGTTTCTCCTCTGCTCCTATGTCAGAACTGCAAGTAGCACCTTCTGTGCTGTGGCTGGGGCTCACCTCCCAGTCCCGAGCAAAGCTGCTGATCACACCAAAGCAGAGCTTTTAACAGCTGATGTCTCACTCGCACTCTGCTGTTTCTCAAGGCTCTTATGATATCCCTGGTTACTGGAATCTTCTGATCCAAACTGAATTTCTGATGTTGGAAAATGGTTTTCCCTGTTATGCAGAAACCCTCAGCTATCTTTGCTCTGTGCCTTTCCTGCTTGAGAATGGCTGTTTCCTTTTACCTGTGCAGATGCTCATGAGTTCTCAGTGCAGGAAGCTAAAGGGACAGCCTGAGTGACTGCTCAAGAGCAGAGTTTAGCGTGCATTTTTTAAGGGTCTGGGCATTGCTGGGGTGGGTTCTTCACCCCCTTAATTTACCTCAGGCTCTTCAAGAGTAAAGTATTTGCTCCATTACATAAAAAGTATCACTTAGCAGTCAGGGCGGCTTTCATGTAATCTCTGGATAGAAAGCAAGCAGGCACTGGAACAGCATCAATGTCTCAGGGTCAAATAGTGAAGCTGAAATACCAGCTCTGATGGCGAGAACTAGAAGGAACTGTTACTACAGGTCTTTCTAGTTTGTGCTCACCTGCAGAGTTCAGTTTTGTTGTGATGTTGGATCCTACACAAAGCTGTCCATCACACGTCCTGGATCTGCAGAGCCTCATTAGAGGAATGTGTTAAACTTGCATCCTTAAGCTCTGTCTTGGTAAAACAGGGATCTGTAGTGAGGCCTATCTGTGCACTATGACCGCTTCGAATCACCTAGAAATACTGACTGTACATCTCCAAAGCACCACTTGCCAGGGAAAGGAGTTTTCTAGCCATAGGGAAGGGAGCAGTTTCTTATTGTTGGAATTGAGATTTTTCAGACCTTCCGTCCCGCCTGTTCAGGGCAGCGGTGATGTTTCCACCTCCGCACCGCCTGGTGTAGGTTCCTGTTCCTCTTCTGCCAGGCATAGGCCTTGTTCACCACCACCTTGTCACTCTGTACCTCGCCACTTACAACAAAGACCCCAGCATGAGTGCCCCTCATGATGTTGTGGGCGCAGGTGGCATCAATGTCCAGCCACTGCTGGAGCCTGGAGGGGATTTCAGTCCTGAGGAGTGGGCCATGCTTCAGCACCTCCACCCTGGAAGGGTCCAGGTCAAAGTCCGAGATACTCGTGGTTGTGTTCTTCCTCAGGATCCGGATTTTCACTGCTGCAGGGGTTGGAAAAAGAGCTCTTAGTTCTGTTTGCTTTTCATAGCTCTCACCTACCTAAAAACAAAGAGTCAGCCCAAGGCTTCTCTGCTGTCTCCGTAATATGGGGACAATCTGCCCAATTTCTTGTAATTGCAGTGAACTTGTAAAAGTTCTCATCTGAGGTCAGTCCCCAGTACTGAACACTGTTCTTAGAGTCATAGAATTGTTTAGGTTGGAAAAGACATCTACCATCATTGAGTCCAACCATTAATCCACCACTGCCCAGTCCACCACTAAACCATGTCCCCGAATGCCACATCCACATCTTTTTTAAGTACCTCCAGGGATGGTAACTCAACCAGTTCTCTGGGCAGGCTGTTCCAGGGCTTGACTACCCTTCCAGTGAGGATGTTTTCCCTAATACCCAATCTGAACCTCTCCAATGCAACTTGAGGCCTTTTCCTTTTGTCCTACTGCTTGTTACTTGGGAGACTTCCTTCTCACTCCGTTTTCCTCATGAGAGTAGCAAAGGTTTATCAGCACCACTGCATGGGCAGAAACCCTGTGGGAAGCACAGGCATAAGCAAGCAGTCCTGGTCTCCTGCAAACTGAGTTTTCTCTGAACTGAGATTTCAGGAGGTGACATGACTGACAGCAACCTGGGATTTGTAACATTTTTTTTAATTATTAAAAATATTTTTATATGCATGCCTGAATTCAGGGCCATATATTGAAAACTTCCTCCCAGCTGACTGAGCAGAGCCAGTGCTGCTGCCTGCTTGGGCTAGGAGAGGAAGAGTCACATTACTAGAACAACAGTATTGAAGTTTGAAGTAGCCAGCATGGATTTTGCTAAAGGTTTTTGTGGACATTGATGGAAATGTTGATCTCAAAGGCAAAACCAGAGTAGTGCTTATTTTTAGCAGCCACAGACCAAAACCTAATCAGAAATAAAGCAGGTCTTCACCTTTGGTGCTGCCTGGAGCCAGGCGCTCTTGCTGCCTCACAGGTAAGGTGGGACCTGAAAATACCTGACATCTGCTGTAAAAGCTGCAATTCCTCCAAGTCAGTATGTTGTGACAAAGCCATTTTCTGTCCATGCCACTGCTTGGCTGCTGAAGGGAACAGCAGCAATTGAGAGGAAGAGGAGGGTACTCACCAAAATCATTGGCACAGAGGCTTTCCAGGATCTCCCTGGCAGTGCTGGCCTCCTCAAGCTCGCAGTCCTTGCAGCTGGCTCGGGGCACTGCTGCAACAGAAATTTGATTATAACACCCTTGTCAAGCTTCACTGGAAAACACACAATGAAATTTTGAGGTCTGCAAATGGTGGCTTGCTGCTTCCAAGTGACACTTCTTCCTGAGCTACCCAGGCCCTGCAGAGACATCTCAGACTGCCAGGGTGGGAAATGTTAAGCTCTCCTTCCTGTGACTGCAGCAGGTCCCACTTGTGCTTTGTTTAGACTTCTGTGTGTTGCTGCATTTTAAAGCAGCAATGAAAATGCTTAATGAGGATCTCCTCGCTAGGATGAAACAGCAAAGCCAGTGCTGTAGCCAGACTCCATCCAGTGATGCTGAAATGATGTTGAAATGTCTGTTCTCCCCTTAACTGCTCTTGAATCTACCCCAGTGTTCATCAGTATCTGGGTGTTTAATTTAGTCTTTCAGACAGATTTTTTTTTTGGTGTAACTCATGTCTGCAGAGGCTCATGTTCCTATGTGATGTTTCCCAATGTTTAAAGAGAAGGCTTGCAAAACATTTCTTTTTGCATGTTTTTAAACCCTGGACACAACTGAAAGATCAGGGCTGCAGCTCCATTGCTCTGCTGGAAGCACATCTCGCTGCCCTGCCGGGAGCCTGCACTCTATGAGCTCTCCTGCTGTGCCTGGGCTGGAGGCTTTACAGCCATTCCTTCCCCCTGCCCCAAACCCTGCGGGGTATGATGGCACCCAGGGAGCTAATGAATACAGCAGAGAGAGGAACAAGCCACAGTCAATGTTATGCTAATTTTCTAGACACAGTTCCCAGAGAGAACAAAACTACGATTTGTATTTTTTTTTAAAAAATACAGCTTAAAACCAGAAATATTCAGAGTAGAAACAATTCATAGGATCATCCTTTTGAGCTTTGAGTGTTACATATGGGAAAGTACGTGAGGAAAAAACCTCTTACTTCTCCTGCTGGAGGCATTTTCATCCATGGAGACTGCTGCGATGCACAGCTCATGATCTGCAGGGAACTTGTTGCAGTTCAGGATTTCAGGCCAGGGGTAGCCGTAACAAGCCATGACGGGCGCGCAGCTTCTCTTGACGGCTTCGCAGAGGCTGCGGCAGGGGTAGATGAGCCTGGGGAGGGGATGGGGGTTCAGCACCTCCAAATGCCTGGCAGCAGGCTGAGGGTGGAGCCCTGGCACCACTGCTGTCCACAGGGCTGTGTTGCACACTGCAGTGCTAGCAGGCAATTTGGGGAGCTTTGATTTTTTTGAACATTCGCGTCCAGGCAGCAAACAATGAATTTCTGAGGACAGGAGGGATGAGGTTGTTCCATACCGGCTGCTGTCAGAAGCCCTTTGCCCCACCCCAGCCCCCAGGGATCTTCTCTAGTTGTGTGAAGGCTGCTTACCTTTACAAGTGCCTAATCAGATACCCAATTTCCTTAGCAGCTCTGTACTTTGAGGGCTGCATCTCAGAACTGGGGATTTCCCTCTGCTGCTGGAACTGTTGGGCTGAGAGACATTTTTGGGGCAGGAGCTGGGGTGAGGGGCTTCATGGGAGGTAGGAGGTGATGATGGTGGGTACCAGCAGCTACTTTGGTGTGCGAGGGGGTGGCCAGGCAGCAGTGCCTGGGGTGGGAGAGCAGAAAAATCTAAAGGAGGGAACATAATATTTCTACTTCTACCAGATGAAATGCTCATGTTTCGCTTTCACCCTGCTGAGTAGTCCAGTTGCCCCTTGCCAAGAGGGACAGCACGGCTTCTTGGGGACTGCACTGATCACATCATGGGCATTTTCTGTCCAGAGGCACATGCAGTTGTGCTCTTGGGGAGAGTTAACTGTTACAGCTGAAATAACTTGTAAAAACATCTTACCTGTCCAAGCAGATTGGTGCAAAGAGGGAGCAGAGGAAAATCCTTGCATCTGGGTGGCACTCCCTGGCCAGCAAGGGCAGCCAGCTGGAAGACTGCTGGATGACTTCTGTCATGGTCTCATGCTCCAGCAGGTTGGGGATCCTCATCTCGGAGTAGCCGATATCGTAGCACAAGGCCATGCGGTGTGGGATGGGCATGCAGCTGGAGGATCTCCTCAGGTAGCTCGCCCAGGCTCCCGGAGAGCCCCAGAGCAGCAGCCACACCGTGAGACCCAGCAGCCATGGGCCACCCACCCTCGAGGGGTGCCTGCGGTGGGCTGTGACCATGCTCAGAGCGGGAGGATGGGCAGTGCACCCTGGACTGAGCTGCTCCTGACTGTGAGATGCCTTTTATAGCCTAGGAGCCACCTCTCTGTCAATCCATCCTCATTAAGTGCGGCCCTTTCAGAGCCCTCATGGGGAAGACAATGCTCCAATTTTTGTTTGCCAGCGGCCCCGATTGTTTGTATTTTAGCAGGGGTTTGGCTTAGATCAGCAGGTGTGGAAATGAGGGCAGTTGGGGAGGGATGAATGACTTGGCCCATGTGTCTTGGGGCTCTTTCAGCCAAAATTGAATCTCTGTTTGACACCAGTGCTCCAACCCATCCCCTTTCTCTTGCTCCAGGATTAGTCATTATTTCATAAACCCCAATGTTTTCCTCTCTTTTGTTTTTTGTGAAAGCAATCAAGTGTTGCTCAAAGTCAATTAGGAGGCATTTGTTTAGCTGGATCTATTGTTGAACAGGCAGGGAGATAGGATGGTCTCACAGCCAGAAGTTAACTGTTTAGGAGAGCTGAGGGCAGAGAGGAACTAATTTGCAGCTGTGGAGCCAGGTTGTTTGCGGATGGGATTGGCAGCACTCAGCTGGAAACCCTCTCACCTTGCAACCTGCATGACAGCACGCTTTCTGGTTAACAGAATTCCTGCTTCCTTCTGAAATCCTGTTACTACCACTGAAGAGCAGAATTGTCCTTCCTCCAGCACATAATTAAGATTCCATAATCCATCATTATTGTAGCCCAGTCTGGGGAGCTGGAAATAGTGGGGGTGCTGGTTGCCAGCACACACAGTTCATTTGGACCTGGTGCTATGCCACGAGGTTCAAACTGGTCAGTGGAAGCTCCAGCTCTGAAACATCCTCTGGCACAAGGACCCTGCACTGCCTGTGGCGGAAATTGCTTCCTGGGAGGGTGTTACAGATACAGCTGGCTGCATTGTGTTCCTGGGGCTTCCCAGGAACAGCCCATTCTCTACAGTGCTAGTTCTAGTCTGTACTTAGCAAGAAGCCAACTGCTTATTGACAGCTTGAGCCGATACGGTTGATTTCAGGTCACGGAAGTAATTAATTTTTTTCCCCCATTTGAGGATTGCTGCCATAATTGATCTATAATATGTCTTTGGCACATACCTGCAGGAGCTCCAGGAAGCTGCAGTTTTGGAGAGCAGGACCTTGGATCTAGGAGCACTGAAGCTGTCCTGTGTTGGTGGCTTTTCTTTCCCTTTTCAAAAATCTCAGTAGCTGGTAACAAGATCACCACAGTAGTGACAGATACCAGCCAGGAGGATCCTCTCAACCTTCTGGGCCACAGTCTAACTCTGGAATGGGACCTTGCCAGCACTTTCCAAGTATACCATGCAGCTAGAAATCTCCTCATGGTCATTGGAGGATTTCTCTGCATTTAAATTTGCTTGGGATCCTGGAATTGCCTGATTGCTGCTGGGTTTATGCTGCAAAGGAAAGCTGGTAATACCTGGATATGGAGTGTGGCATCCTCCATGTGCAGTATGTTCCCCTTTAATATTGCATTTGAAGGCCATTTTTAGTGGAGGATCAAGAGAATGAGTGGGGAAAAAGTTAGAATTTTTCTCCTTTCTGTTTGAGTTTTATAGTAGAGCACTGGACCATGCCCCCCCAAATTATATGTGCAAAAGGTATTTGGTTTTGTGCAAAGAACAAGGAAGCCTGAAACCTGGGCTGTCACCACTGCCCACTGTAAGGATTTTTGGCCTCCCTTCCTGTAAAGCAGCAATTCCCAGACTGTGATTAACATGGCACCTTTGAAATGGTAATATGCAGTGATATGCACGTTTGTTCACTCCTTTGTCCATTGTGGTATGTGTGAGAGAGTTTAAGGGCTTGACCTCTGCATCCAAACATTTAGGAACTGCTGCTGTAAAAATACCTGCCTCCATCAGCTCAGGTGTGTGGCGTATGCTCTTTGAGAGCTCTTCTGGTAGAAGGGTGGATGTCTTTGAATGTCCCAAACTTAGGCAATTCTTAAATTACACCTCACCTCTTTTTTTTTTTTTTCCTGAGTCTCCTGCCAGTGGTATGGGATCCCACTGTAACAGTTCCTCAGTCTCTGTTGGTGCTCACACTTTTGCTTTAGAAATTCCCGACTTCCTGACAGAGGAGGAGTGCAAGCTCATCGTCCATCTTGCAAAGCTGAAGGGGCTGCAGAAGAGCCAGATCTTACCAACAGATGACTATGAGGAAGCCATGGAAATGATTGAAATCAGCCAGATGGACATTTTCAATCTCCTGGACCATAATCAGGATGGGCAGCTGCAGCTCAAAGAGGTAGAGTGTTGGACAGACCAGGGGTGGTTTGCTGGGCACCCTCCGACAGGTCCCCTCCTCAGATGGTCTCTTGGTTACTCATGTGCTTGGGTAGGGCAGACCCCGGTGTATACCAATCAGTATTTGCTGGATTTTATGTCTTAAGGCTTGTGCTGGCCTTCAGCATGGAAGTTTCTGGGGCAATGTGCAGTAGTTATCATGCTATTGGGAGGTAGCAGCGGTCCTTGGCAGGACACATGTGTTTTGAATATGCTGGATAAAATGTTCCTTGTGTTGTGGGTTGCCTCTTGCCGGGTGTCCCAGGAAGTGAGTTTGTCGCCTGAGCCCTGCTTTGTGCAGCCTGTGGGAAACTCCCTGTGTGAATTCACAAGCCCCAGCAAAGCCACCCTTATTGAGGAGCCCAGGGGGGATAATGAGCACATTGTCCACAGCTCTTCAGCGCCCTTGCCCTTTATAGGAGGGTGCATCAGGGCAGGTCCTGGCAGTCCAAGGATGTCCCTCCCTAGGCTCTCATTTCAGGTGGAGCCGGGGGTCTGACTCATCCTGTGGGCCACAAGTGTTGCAGGGTATGGGAAACTGCACCAGTCACAACCCAGGGCAAGGCTCCTTTCTCTGGAGCCTGCTGGGAGCTCTTCAGGATCCTGCATCTCTCTGCACACATGAAAAGGAAGCATTTTGTTCCAAGCCCTTATCTTGGACAAGGAAAAGCATTCACTTTTATCATCAATAGCTTTACTTTCCCTTCAAGAGAAAGAGCTGTGCCCCCTCCACCTCAGGGCTGGTTAACCAAGTCCCAGCAGTCATTTGCCATGACCTAAACTGGAAATAACAGCACTCACCAGCCACACTCTGTGTGTGGCTGCCAGATGGTTCTCACCACAGTTGTGTTTCTGCGGAAATGTGCCGATGCCTGGCTGGCTCTGCAGAGGAGAGCCTGCCAGGCCTCACACAGGGAATCTGCGGGGGTTTGGGAGTACAAGAAACCAGTGCCCTGTGTTGATCCATTTATGAATTTCAGGTGTTGACCCACACTCGGCTTGGGAACGGCAGGTGGATGACCCCTGAAAACATCCGTGAGATGTACACAGCAGTCAAGGCTGATCCTGATGGGAATGGTAAGACCAGCTTTTGGGGAATCCCTGTTGCCCTCAGCACGTTGGATGCCTCATGCAGCCATGTGGGGCAGAGCAAGAGCCGTGTCCCTACTCTGGCCTGTTTCTCTAGCTGAGTTCTGCAGAGGAAAGTAACACTGCTTTAGAGACTTTCTCAGGAAAGTAAACTCAGTGTAAACCTGATATCGCAGCACTCCTGCCCCTGCATCACCAATCTAACAGCAGACTGGTCCCACCACCTGGGCTTGGGTCTTGCAGGAGCAGCACCAGAATACAACTCTGCACTCCCTCTCCCCTGTCACACCTTCCTTGGTTTGTGCCCCACAGTAGCAAGACCTTCGGGGTGCACTTTTGCTCCCCTGATCTGACAGACTGCTCTGGCTCTGACTACAGAGCTCTTGTTACCTGGGATGCAGGTGTTAAGACACACCTTCCACGCCCCCCCTTGTTTTCAGGGAGGCTTCTGCAGCAGGCTGGAAGTCCCATGTCACTGGCAGGGGAGGGTGGAATTAAGTGGCGGTGAGGATGGTCTTGTCAGCGTTTTTCGCTGACTGCCCTCTCTGCCACTGCAAAGTCCCTCCATGAGGCCACTTCTGCCCCTCCTGCCCCTGGTCTCCCTAGGGCTCCCACACTGTCCGGATGAGCACTCTAACCTCTGCTGCTCTAATTAGAGTGGCCTCAATTAGGCAGCACTCCATTTCCTAATCAAATTAAGTGAATGCACAGGCTCTGCACGCTCTCTTCCAGTGACCTGGCATTGAGAGCTGCCCAGGAGGAGCTGCTTTGGAGTTGAAACAGTACCAGTGTGAACGCATAAATATCCGGAGGGCACCCCGTGCCCTCTCCCCCAGGCTGGTGGCATTCTTGGCAGGGGTATGACTGAGTCCTCAGTGGCTTTTCCACCGTTCTGGACATTAACAAATGAAAGGTCCAGTTAAAGGCCTCTTGGCAGGACCTTGCTTCCAGAGTGCTGCTTCCCTCTGTTGTTAGATTGGTACGTGACACTGAGGGACCAGGTCACAACCTGGATGTGGCCCTGCGTCATCAGACCATGGGGAGTGAGGGGAAATGGGGACAGAGAGACACTAGGAATAATAACAGTGGATCATTTGGTCGTGACCACTGACACCTGAGGAACTGTCCCAGGCTGACCCTGGTGGCTGGTCCTTCCTGCTGCCAGGGGGTGCTGTGCCCAGGGAGCAGAGCTGGCACCCAGCAGCACTGGGTTTGCTGCCTGAATGAGCTCCACTCCCAGCCCATGGTGTGTGCTGGCTGCTGGGCAGCACAGGGCACAGCACTGCACACTGGTGTCAGGACCTGGTCCCCAGTGTGAGGCTTCCCTTCTCCAGAAAGAGGAAACAACAAATTTGAGGACTCTTCTGAAGCAAAATAAGGCAAAAGTCCACCCCTTGCTGAGTCCAGTTGAGTGCAAACAAGAAATACCTGTTTTAGGAGAAACCGCTTTTTAGCTCTCACTTTTCTTTTACTTCCACCTAGGCAAGATCATACCCTGATGTATTCCTCACTCGTGTTTTGCAATTACACAAATGCAGGAGAATGTACTGCTTGTTTTGAGTTTGGCTTTTTTTAATTAGCCCACAAGATCGTGTGGAAAATTTGTTCTGAGGTGTCCCATTCTGTCCTTAAATGCGTTTATTTAAATATCTAAGTAACGAGCCCCAAGACACTGGGTGGCACAGACTTTTTTGTGTATGTTAGAACTGTAGTGGGCTGTTTCTCTCTTTCGATGGATTGGTTTGTGTGTTTTAGGAGCTTTTTAAAGTTCAGAATAGTGCTTTGCCTGTCCCACTTCTGACCCTGCACGGTTCACGTTGGCAGGTTGCTGTAAGTCCTCTGCTGCAGGCGAGAGCCTTGTTGGGGCCCGTGATCCCGAGTGTAGGAGTACAGAGCCTGTGGTGGGCACAGGACCCTGATTGGGGTCTGTTTGAGGAGGGTAGTTTCTGCAGCACCCTCAGCTGGTTTTTCTTCCAGTACAGGATGCCAGAAACTATTACCTGCACCAGAGTCAGGCAGCTTTTCCTCTGTTCCTGTAGGTGTGCTGAGTTTGGAGGAGTTCAAACAGTTGAATATCCGTGATTTCCATAAGTACATGGGAAGCCAGAAGGTGAAGATGAGTGACCTGGTGCGCAACAGCCAGCACACCTGGCTGTACCAGGGCGAGGGGGCACACCAGGTCATGAGAGCCATACGGCAAAGGTAAGGGCCAAGCAGCCAAGGGGTGGCTGGGTTTGGGAAGGCACGAGGATCACCTGTGCTGGGAGAGGCAGGGGCAGACTTGCTAACATCTACATTTCCTAATTGTGTGTAAGTCTTTGGAGTATAAAGAGCAGTTAACACAGACACAAAATGGGAAGAGAAGGTTTTCATTAGAACAAGAATTTGTATTGTCCCGTGGAAAGGGAAAAAGAAAAATCAAACCTTTCAGCATCTCCATTCACTTTTGGGAACAGCCCTATAAAACCAGGAAGATTTGGCAGTATATGAAATACTTCATTCTAATTAGTAAATGAGCTTACTGGGAGAAGCTGCCCATTTCCAATGCTGTCTGGGCGCCAGTAGTTGCTGTCATTTGCTTTAGTTACTCATGCATTTCACTGAAATCTGTCTTAGCTACTCAGAACTGACTTTTTAACAAGCACGACTTCACCTAGAATAAGCCAAGTTAGTTCAATTCTCCAAGCACACATATTGTAGGGCAGCTCACGGCAGATGGGAGAACCTCTTACCCTTCCCTTCATCTCAGATGAAACCCAGCACTCAGACCAAATCGTGTAGCATTGGTGAGTTTCAAATAGTTGGCTGGAGACTCTCTTGTTCTTGTGGTGCTGGTCCTCACCCAGAACATGGGTGGGTAAAATCTGTCCTGAAGCTTGAAAATGGCTGTTGGCCACTCCTTTTCTTCAGCGCATTCCAGCGGGAGAATGGGGTCGCATATTGCCTTGATTAGAGCAGACTGTGGCTGCCACCTTCTCCGTGCCAACCAGCACACACACCATGTATCAGCATTCCACTTGGACGCTCCTCAGTTGGCTGTTAGGAGGATGTGAAGACACAGTGCTGAAGGAGGCTGTTAGTCCTCCCTGGGACCATGCAGTGCCTGGAGGGGCTTTGCCATCCTGCCCAGGTGCCGTGTTCTCCTTGCACCTGCCCCAAGGGCTTCACTGGTCCAGATTCTCAGAGCTCTGAGTGTTCTTTGGCAGGTCTCAAGACGTACCTGCTTACCTTGGGGATGATCTCAGATGTAGCAGTGGAAAAATCCCAGAGCAGGAGGGCTCCAGTCTCCTTGGTCACTTCCAGTGCCCCTCTGCCCTGGGGGAGGCTGCTGCAAAGGCAACAGGGAAAGGTGAGTTAGGTGACAAGACTATTCCTAGAGCTAGTCTCTCGTTCACTCTCAGCAGGGGCCCTGTGCTTTGCTAACTGTCCCTGAGGTCTGTAGGTGGTGTGCAGGAGTCCAGAGAAGTGATGACACATGAAGGCTCCAGGGACACGCACAGAAAGAGAGGATCTTGCTGAGCAAGCAAAGACTTCCTGAGAGCAGTCCTGCTGGAGATGCATCCTTCGGTTTTGTTTTTTTGGGTTTTTTTTATTAACCTTGACAAGGGCTTTCTGACTGATACTGATGGACCAACAGATCTATCAGGACTATCTTTGTTTGCTAGCTAGTCCCGTCCCTCAAAGACATCAGGAGCCACTGACCTACTGCCTGTAAACAAAGGCCTTTCAGAGTCAGGAAGCTCCTACCCAGCCGGTGACAAGAAGATTCTACAGTTCCCACTAGCAGGCAGCTATCCCCTTTAGCTGTTTTCTGAGCTCCCAGCTACAACAAGAAGATGATGGCTGTCACCTCCTGCAGTCTACCCCTCCCAATAGCCAAGTCTTGAAACAGGCCCATACCTTGGCATGCAGCCATCCGTCTCTCCGGTCTGTTGGGGAAGGGGGTTCTCTTTCTCTAGATGTATTCACTGCTTGGGAGTAGCATCTGACCAGGCTGAGGGTGCTTCCCGCTCACCTGCCTTGCTCTTCCCCAGGGTGATGCGCCTGACTCGCTTGCCCCCCGAGATCGTGGAGCACAGCGAGCCCCTCCAGGTTGTGCGGTACGACCAGGGAGGGCACTACCATGCCCACATGGACAGTGGCCCCGTGTTCCCTGAGACTGCCTGCAGCCACACAAAGCTCGTCGCCAACGAGAGCGCTCCTTTTGAGACCTCCTGCCGGTAAGCTCTGCCCTGACACAGTCTGGAACGCGTTAGAGAAGGGGTGGGGAGAGACATCTCACTTTGCCCCGCATGGGACTTGGTGCTTGGATTATGGGGCTCACAAACCAGCTCAGGAGATCACTGGCATAAAGGGGTTTGAAGGAGAAGGCAGGCAAATCCTGTGGGTCCTCGCATGGAGGACAGAGTGATGTGCAGAGCTGCTGGGCCATCCCCACCAGAGCCTACAAGCGCACTCTCACTGTTCTGGGTGGGGATTTTCTTTGTTGTCCTTGTGTTATTCTTTGAGAAAAGCTGATGGTGTAAATCATGTGCCTTGTTATGTCTTGGAGGAGCTGCTATATGTATGGTGGAGGGGCAGGATGTGGAGAGCCCCTGTGCCTCTCCTCCAGGTGTTCCAGGTGTGCCCCCTGACAGCCTCTTTGTCTTGCAGGTATGTGACTGTGCTGTTCTACCTGAACAATGTGACTGGGGGAGGCGAGACAGTCTTTCCTATTGCTGATAACAGGACGTACGAAGAGATGGTAAATGGACCTCACCTTCATGTTACCCCTGGGGATTCTGAGTCTCTCTTTGAATGTCTTCATTCACTGTGACTGCAGAAGGGGGCTGGTGTGTGAGGCTGCTGAGCGTTAGGGAAGCTGTGCTCCGCTTATGGTCTTCTCCCTCTGAGGCCGAGGGAAGAAGCACAGGGCTTTGACAGCTGCAGCTCTCCCTGCTCAGAGGTGTGAGGGGGAGTCTCTTGGCCTTGCTGCCACAACATGAGTCCTACTTGCTTCTCTCTGAGCACGTTTCCTCAGACTAAGCCTTGGCAGGTATGTTGTGCCCCTGCCAGGCGATGTGTTAAGGAATGGGCAGCTGCTCAGAAACAGGTTATGGACCTCCAGGGGACTGAAACTGGCTACTCTGGGTGGGTTGTGAAAGCCCCTGTGTCACCCTTGAGCTGTCCCTGTGGGGCAAGGAGCAGGGTGATGGCTGGTAGCAGGGATAGCCCAGTGCATGTGCCTCATTCCAGCCCCATTGGCAACACCTTCCCTGTGGTTCCTCCCCAGTCTTTGATCCAGAACGATGTTGACCTGCGAGATACTCGGAAAAACTGCGACAAGGGCAATTTGCGAGTGAAACCTCAGCAAGGCACTGCTGTTTTCTGGTACAACTACCTGTCCGACGGAGAAGGTATGGGCTTGTTTCAAGACTTGGCTATTGGGAGGGGTAGACTGCAGGAGGTGACAGCCATCATCTTCTTGCTGTAGCTGGGAGCTCAGAAAACAGCTAAAGGGGATAGCTGCCTGCTAGTGGGAACTGTAGAATCTTCTTGTCACCAGCTGGGTAGGAGCTTCCTGACTCTGAAAGGCCTTTGTTTACAGGCAGTAGGTCAGTGGCTCCTGATGTCTTTGGGGGACGGGACTAGCTAGCAAACAAAGACCTTGGCTGCACTCGCCACCGCCAGCTGCCTCCCATCCTGCTGTGCGAGCTGAAACTCCTGCTGGAACTTGGTCTGCAATTCAAAGTGTGTCACTGATGTGGTGTTGCCCAAAGGGGTGGGGAGGGGAGGTAGACAAAGGCACAGCCATCAGCTCTGCAGCACAGGCAGGCAGGGGCCACCCCACACAAGGCTTGGGGCTGACGCCTGCTTTGTAGCTCAGCCGCAACCCCGTGGTATCTGTCCTTGGGGCTGTTTTTGTCATGAAGCACAGTGTGGTTTGCCCTGACAGGCTGGGCTTTGACATGAATATTCCAGGCTGCTGGTGAGCGTGGCTCCAGAGGGTTTCGATGGCAGATTTTGAGCTGTGGTGGGAGGAAGGAGTATAAACTCCCAGGGCCCCTGGGAGCAGCCCATGTTTCCATCTCTAGAAAATCCACAGAGAGGAGGTCACAAGACCAGTGTTTGGGCTGTTGGGTGAGAATATCAAGACCATCAATGCTGCGAGTAGAGCCCTGTCGTGTTTTTATGAGCAATTTGTTCCTAAATGGAAAGTAGCTGCTGATGCAAGTCTGCCACAGAAAAACCATGGGACCTCTGTAAAGAGAGGGTAATTTAGAACTGCTGAAATGCAGTCTCCAAAATGGCTATCAGCCTCTGACTTCACAGGCCTTCTACCAGCAGCACTCATCTCTTCCATGCCAGCTTCCCTTTTTGGGAAGAGTTGAGAAAAACACCTGCTGTGATGCAGAATGCAAGAGCCCCCTTGTGCTGAGTGGAGATGTGGGGGCAATGAACATTTTGTACCCAGGAGTGAACTCCTCATAGGCACTAGGTTGGGGTGGCACTAAGATGGAGGGGTGCTAGGAGGAGCTACTCCTGTAAGATGTATCAACTCAAATCCAAGCAGGCACTGCGGGCAGGAAAACCGACATCAGTGTTTGCTGGCCAGGTGTCCCCGCACGGTCCCGGCTCTGCCTGCCCTCCTCACCACCTCCTACCAGGGCTCTGCTCTTTTGCAGGCTGGGTGGGGGAGCTGGATGACTTCGCCCTGCATGGAGGCTGCCTGGTCACCCAAGGCACAAAGTGGATCGCCAACAACTGGATCAATGTCGACCCTAACCGCCGGCGGCAGCAGCAGTTCCAGCAGGAGATGGAGCGCTATGCGGGGGCCGATGCGGGGGCCGGGGCCGGAGCCCCGGGCGAGTGGACAGTGGACAAGGCCTACAGCGGGGCGCACTTGGAGCTGTAGGCGCGGGGGGCCTGGCCGCGCGCACGTGGCCTTTTCCCGCGCTGTGCGGGGGGGCGGGGCTGCGGACCACGTGCGCGGCGGGGCCGCGTCGCGCGCCAATAAAGCGTGCAGAGACGGGCGCCGCCTCCGCGTGCTCTGGGGGCGGGGCCGCGCGGCTCGGCCAATGGGCGGCTGGCGGGGCCGTGGGGGTGCCGCCAAGATGGAGTCGGTGGCGCTGGTGGCGCCGGTGACGGCGCTGGAGTTCGCGGGGGACGTGCTGCTGGCGGGTGAGCGGCGGGACCAGGACGGGACGGGGTGGGCGGTGGGAGCAGCAGCGGCGGCGGTGGCTGACGCGGTGTCCTGCAGGCACAGGCCCGGAGGTGGTGGCGTTCCGGCTGAGTGGAGGCGGGACGGCGGCGCGGAGGAGCGTGCTGCGTGAGGCCAGCGTGCAGGGGCTGCGGGCCGAGCCGGGCCGCGGGCCGGCGGCGCGGGTGGCGGTGTTCGGCGGGCGCTGGCTGGCCGTGCTGGCGGTGCGGAGAGGGGGGCCGGGCGGGGGGCCGCTACTGGCGCTGTGCGGCGGCGGGGCCGCGCGGGAGCTCGGGGCGCGCGTGTGGGAGGCGCGGTGGGCACCGGGCGGGCGGCTGGCGCTGGCGCTGGGCGGGGGGGCCGTGGCGCTGTACGAGTGGCGGGGCGGCGGGCGCTGGCTGAGGCGGGCGAGCTGCGGCGGGGCCGGGGCGCTGCGCTGCGCCGTGCTGGCCGGGGCGGGCTGGGAGCGCCTGGCACTGGCGGCCGGCACGGCGGCGGGGGCCGTGGTGATGTGGCGGGCGGCGGCCGCGGCGGCCCCGCGGCGGGAACTGCGCGGGCACCGGGGCGCGGTGCTGGCGCTCTGCTACGCGGCGGCGCGGGGGCTGCTCGCCTCCGCCTCTGAGGACCGCAGCGTGCGGCTCTGGGCCGTGGGCGATCTGGGCGGCGGTGATGGGGACGGCGCCTGCCTGCTGGTGTGTTACGGGCACGGGGCGCGGGTGGCCGCCGTGGTGCTCCGGGGATCGCTCCCGGTCAGCGCGGGGGAGGACGGTGCCTGCCTGGAGTGGGGAGTCAGCGGCGATGTGCGGCGGGAGCGGCGCGGGCACCGCGGGGCCCTGCGTGCCCTGGCCCTGCGCCCTGCCGGCGGCCGGCTGGCCACGGGCGGCGACGACGGCGGCGTCCGGCTCTGGCGGCCCCGGCGGGCGACGCCGGCGGCTGTGGCGGCGCTGGGGGCCCCGGAGCGGCCGCGGGCTGTGGTGCTGGCGGGGCCGCGGCGGGTGCTGGTGCTGGGCGAGGCGGGCGGGCTGGCGGCGTTCGAGGCGGCTCAGGGGCGCTGGGCGCCGGTGCTGCCCGCCCCCGCCGCCGGCGGGACCCGCGCCGTGCTGGCGGCCGCCCCGCTGCCCGGCGGGGACGAGGCGCTCTGCGCCCTGGCCGGCAGCGACGGCCGCCTCCTCCTCTTCGTCCTGAGCAGCCCCGGGACCGCCGCCTCGCTCAGGCTGTTCGAGGGGGCCGTGCTCGGCCTGAGCTGGGCCCCCCGCCCCGGGCTGCCCTCCGCCACCGCTGCCACCCTCCTGGCCTCCGGTCCCGAAGGGGAGATGCTCTGGCTGGACGTCGCGCACCGCCCCGGGCAGGCACCCTGCGTGCGGCTCATGGGACGGTACCTGCTGCCCCCCTGCAAGCAGCGCTGGCACACCTGCGCTGCCTTCCTGCCCCAGGAAGAGCTCCTGGTCTGCGGCGACCGCCGGGGCTCCCTTCTCCTGTTCCCTTGCAGCAGCTCCTCGAGGCGGGCTGCAGAAAGCACCGGCATTGCCAATGGTGTCGCTGACTCGGTCGGTGAGGACTCTAGCAGCGAGTTGGAGCTGTCTTGCTTGTCACACAAAGGGGTCCTTCCCCTGGAGTCCCCGTTGTCCGTGCTCTTTGGGCTCCACGGGAAGACAGGGGTTACCTCGGTGACCTGCCACAAGGGCTACATTTACAGCACTGGCCGTGACGGTGTCTACCGCCAGCTCCACCTGCGGGACCAGCAGCTGGAGGTTCTGCGGAAGCACAGGCCCTGCAAAGGGCTGCAGTGGATCGAGGAGCTGCGCTTCACCCCAGACGGGGACCTGCTCGTGCTGGGCTTTCACGCTGACAACTTTGTGGTGTGGAGCAGCAGGACTAGCGAGAACCTCCACTGCATCCCCTGTGGGGGTGGGCACCGCTCCTGGAGCTACTGCAGCAGCCCCTGGGCTGAGGTCTTTGCCTTCATCAAGTCTGGGGATGTGATGCTGTACTGCTGTGAGGCTGAGCCCTGCGAGCAGCAGGTGCTGCTGGCATCCCTGCACGGGCGGGAGATCACCTGTGTACGGCGTCTGGGGGCCATGGAGGTGCCTGGCCATGTCGCCCTTAACGTGCTGGTCACCAGCAGCGAGGACACCACGGCCTGTGTCCTGGCACTCAGTGAGCGCTCTCGGGCAGCCGTGCCCCTCGCTCGCCTCAGTGACCACATTTCCAGTGTGAGGACGCTGGCACTGGCCGGCCCCACGGGACCTGGAGACAAGGGCTTTGGTGAGGAGGGCTTGTCTGCCCTGCTCTTCTCTGCGGGTGGCCGGGCACAGATCGAGTGCTACCGGCTGCTGTGTGCTGGGGACCCAGAGAGTGCTGTGGAGAGCCTGGAGAGCGCTGTGGCCTGCCAGGTCATCCATGTGGCCTCCCACCGGCTGGACGAGCACTGGGAGAGAAAGAAGAACAGGCACAAGCTCGTCAAGATGGACCCGGAGACGAGGTGATGCTCAGGGACTACTTGAGGCAGGGTTAGTAGTGATTATGACCTGGGAGGGTGATGAGAACCACACTGGCCTCCACTGGGGTACTGCTCTGTGCAGCTGCAGGCTCAGCTGAGGCAGACTGGGCCAGTGTGGCTTCATGTGTGCATTCCTGGTGCCCTGTGGCTCGGCCTTGAGGGGCTTTTGTGGCTAGGGAAAGGCCTACTCTTTCCTTGTGCCTTCTCCGAGTGCTCAGAGCTGCATCCAGCACTGGGCTTGGGCTGTTCTCGTGGGCCATTCACCTCCCCAGGGCCACAGGTGTCACCAAGGCATTGGTGAGCATTGTATCTTTGCTGCAGGTACATGTGCCTCTCTGTTGTACCTGGCACCAGCACCAAGCAGCTGCTGACACCCTGGAAGTTCCTGGCTGCTGCCTGCAGCGATGGATCAGTCCGGTGAGGAGCCATGGTGCAGCCTGGCAGGGAGAACAGAGCTGGGGCTGATGATGGAAGCAGAACAGGCTCTACGTGGGAAGCCGCTGCCATGGGTGTGGCCTGTTCTGCACAGGGAACAGGGCAGTGCATGGTGGGAATTGGGGCAGAGATGCCAGGAGCTCCCTCCTCCCACAGCCAACTGTCCTCTGCTCCATCGCAGGGTCTTCGGGCTGCTGGAGGCTGCTCGGAATTTGGTGCTGGTGGCAGAGTCATTTCACCACCAGCGCTGTGTGCTGAAGGTGGAGGCGTTCCTGCACACAGGGACAGGAGGGGAGAGGTGAGCCCTGAATGCTGGGCTCTGGGGAGAAGCATTTCTCCTCATAGGGATGGCAGCTCAGCGAGAGAAGGGAAGGGAGGAAGTCAGGGAGGCTGTTCTGCCATTTCCATAGATCTTAGTGGGGACCCTCAGGGCTGTGGCCAGAGGCTCCCCCTACACCTCCCTTCTAGGAGGCACCTCCTGTGCAGTGCAGCCACTGACGGCAGCATCGCCTTCTGGGACATCACCAGCCCCATCACGGACGCAACCGCTGCCCTGCACCGAGCGGAGGGGGAGATGCAGCCCCTGGGTGGGTGTCACTGCCAGCAGCCCTGCTCTGCCGCCTGAGGGTGGCCACACTGGTGGCTCCTCTGCTCCCTCTGACCAAGGTGAGCATCACTCTCCTGACCGAGCCTGTCTTCCCAGCCCTGGGTGTCCCACTGCTCACCATCATGGCCCACAGCTGCGGTGTGAACAGCCTGCACGTCAGCAAGGTGACAGAGGGACAGTACTTGGTGGCCAGTGGCAGTGATGATGGCTCCATCCACATCTGCCTGCTGGAGGTGGCCCTGGGCAAGGGCGAGGCCGCAGCAGGGACCTGCCTGCAGATCCTGGAGCGAGTGTCCAGGCCCTGTGCCCATGCTGCCCACGTCACGGGTATCCGGGTGCTGCGGCCGGACCTGCTGCTCTCGGCCTCAGTGGATCAGCGCCTGACACTGTGGCGCTGGGGCCCGGGGGGGCTGGTCCCCCTCAGCACCACCTTCTTCCACGTGCCTGACCTGGCTGAGCTGGACTGCTGGGAGGTGGCGGAGGCCGGGGGGGAACTGCGGTACTACTGCGTGCTCTGTGGGCAGGGCCTGGAGATGCTGTGCGGCACAGCCCCCTCTGAGCCCTCGCCACTAGAGGCTCCCCAGGAATGGGCAGGTGTGCAACACATCCCAGTCCCTGCCTATCTTGGGAGGGCGCTCTGCCCATCACTGTAGCCCCCAGCCTGCACACTGATGTGTCCCCTCCTGAGGGGATGGGCATGCTTGGCTCCTTCAGGGGCAGCACAGCTGCATATGGGGTGCTCAAGGCCAGTGGTCTCAGGGGTGAAGGCAGATGTGACCCCTCCTGGAGGGGCCTGTGACTCCCCAGGCAATAAAGAACTGGGGTTGTCAGCTCCCTCTGCCTGGGAGAACCTTCTCCCCAAGGTGTGAGGGACCCATGTCCAGGCTTTCCAACCCTGGTCTCAGAGAGGGACCTGCTGAGGAGGGTGCTTAGGGCCCTGCCCAGCACTGGGAGCTTGAGGGCAGCAGGAGGCCAAGAAGGGTCAGGTGCTGGTGGGCTGCAGCCTGATGTGCCAGCCCTGACCCTGCAGTGCTGAGGATGGTGCTGAAAATGCACAGAGACACTGATCCCCTGCTGTAGCACCCTGTAGGGTGCCCACACATGCCCCCCCGCCTTCAGAGCAGCCTTTCAGTACTGTGTCAGGCCAAGTGGGTTCCTGTGCAGCAGCAGGACCCAGGACAGTTGGAGCAAGGGAAGGACAAACAGCTCTGAGGTCAAACAAATGCAGTGTTTGTCCAGCAACAAGTGTATTGGACCCCAGTACTGGGGCTTGGGCCAGGTCCTGACAG